GGGGCGCGGCGAGCCCCGGGTCGCGGCCCCCCGCTGCCCGCACGGCCCGGCCCCCGCCCGGCATCCGCGGCTCTGCTCAGCGCCCGCCCGCAGCCACCGCCACCCGCGGGGCCATCGGGGCTGCTCCGCCCGGGGCTGCTGCTCCTGGGGCTGCTCCTCCGCCCGGGGCTGCTGCTCCTCCGCCCGGGGCTGCTGCTCCTGGGGCTGCTCCTCCGCCCGGGGCTGCTCCTCCCGGGGCTGCTGCTCCTCCGCCCGGGGCTGCCGCTCCTGGGGCTGCTCCTCCGCCCGGGGATGCTCCTCCCGGGGCTGCTGCTCCTCCGCCCGGGGCTGCTCCTCCCGGGGCTGCTGCTCCTCCGCCCGGGGATGCTCCTCCCGGGGCTGCTGCTCCTCCGCCCGGGGATGCTCCTCCCGGGGACGCTGCTCCGCTGCCGCCCGCTCCTCGCGCAAAAGCCGCTGCCGGCGGTGGCGGGGCTATTTCTGCTCGTGGGGCGAGCGGGGCGGGGAGTGCGCGGCGCGGAGCCATTGGCCGGGACCCGGCGGCACCGGCACCGCGCCCCCGCAGCGCCCGGCCCCGGACGGCTCCCCCCGGCCCCGATCCCGCACCCCCGGCCCCGGACGGCTCCCCTGACCCGGCGTGTGCGGCTCCCCGGAGGTTTTGGGCACCGCTTTGCGCAATTCTCAATAAAAAGTTGCCTTCGCTGTCCCCAGACTCGAGGACTCCGGATGCTGCTGCTGCTGCTCCGGGACACCGGGGTTGCCGCAGCAAAAGAAAAAAAAGTTCGCCACCAGGAGAGGCTGATCCAAAGTACGGGATTTCACAAAATCCTGGCAGTGCTCGATCTCTGGATGGTTATGGCACAGCGGGACATTTCCTGATGTAAGAAATGGCAAAATACCACGGATTAGCAAATGCCATTACAGGGCTGAAGTGGTCGAGTGGTCTAAGGAGCTTAAGGAAAATGATATCTGAAGGGGTTCTCTGCTCTGGTGGATCTTAAACCAGCCTGGAAGGTGAAGATATTTAATAACTTAATAAGGTTACCTTTTCATTGCAGGTTTCACGCTTTATATTGCATTCACCATCAAAACACAGAACAGAGATTGAACTTCCCACCACTGCTGAAACATCCAGCAGCACTGAATAGTCCAGGGTAGAAAGTGGAAAAAATTACAAACAATTAAAGAAAAGAAACCTTCCTATAGCAAACAGAAAGTAAAAGACATTGCCATTGACTTTTTTTTTTTTTAAACAAAGTTGTAAACTAAATCCTGTGGAAGGGAATGCTTTCTAAGGATCCAGAGTTAAATCAGAGCAAAAAACATGGGGAAAATAGGACTGAAATGATTCCTTTGGTTGTAGTACAAATGGAAACACTCCTGCTGACCAGCAATGCTTTGGGTCAGACAAATGGGGACTCTTAATTTATATTGAACAAAGTAATTTTTATCGAGTTAAGACATTTCAGGATGCTGAAAGCAAAGCTGTGCCAGGGGTCCATTGAATTTGATGGCAACACACAGAAGGATCTGCACATGGGAGTATCGCTGCCCTTTGTCCTTTGGATTCTAGGCACTGTACTGTCACAGTAAGAACCAAGCCCACAATGGCATTTACAGGGAAGCCCTTAAATCCCGGGATTCAAACCTCAGTGTTTGCCTGGAAGTGCCCTGAAAGGAGCAGCGGAGTTTGAGGTGAGCTCAAGGTTCACAGCCCCAGGTCTGGCTGCTCCATCAGTTCTGACTGGATCCTGAACTTGCCCACACTGGTTTCGTTTATTTATTATTTTGGGATGAGTGCAGTTTCCCTCATGCAGAGCCTGTTCTAATTGTGTAAACTATCATGGAAAAGCACTTTTCTCCCCAAAGGGATGGATTTACATCAGGGTTTTTACACACATTATTTTCCTAGTGCTGGGATGTGCCAACAGCCACCTTCTTCTGCTTTACAGCACCTCAGCAAAACCAGAATTAACTTTCTGCATAGATGGATACATTTTATTAGAGAAAGATCTGCTTTTGTGATCATAGAAGCTATTGTGATCATGGAAGGATTACTACAGGCTGAGCCCAGGGAAACTGTGGTTTATCAAGTCAGTCACAAACAGAGAAAACACTATTTCATGTTCTGATGAATGGGTTGTTTGGGCAAGGTTTCTGTGAGACAGGTAGAGAGGCACTGAATATTGTGGGTTTTGCATTACAGGGAGATTCATGGCTCTCCAGAGCAGCAGATCCTGTGCCAAGGTCCAGTGGTTTGTTCTGGCAGTAATGTGCAACTGAGCTTACTCCCAACACAATTCCTGCGAGGGGAGCCAAGGACAAGTGTGCTCAGCTCTGTTGTACCAAACGTGGTTAAATGCTGCTGGCAGGAAGAAGAGGATGAGCCCAATCCTAGATCCTGACCTCCAGCTGTGCTCTTTGAGCCCTCTTAAAATATCTGGCATTGCACACCCAACCATGAAACACCAACTGAACGTGCTGCCTTGTAGAACAGTGACCTGAGCACTGCCAAACCCTGGGCTCCTGGGGCTCAGGGGATCCGTAGGTGAGAGGGTGAAAATTTATCTTCTGGAATCTGTAAAGGAGCAAGAAAATCACAGAAGCATCGAGGTAAACACATCCCAGAGCCGGCAGGCGGATAGGTGACGAATCCATTCAAGAATTGGAGTGCAACAGTACCACGGCAGCACCGGAGCCCTGCTGGATGTTCAGATGTCAGACACAGATGAATCACCACTACTATTATTTTCCTGGATTCCACTTCCCTCCGGGGATTCGCCTCCCAACACTCACGTAGGGAACAGCAGCAGCCCCAACCTGCTGCTTTCAAGTGCGAGAACTGCCCCGGCTGCTTTGTTCAGAGGGAAACCGATTGAAAGGGATCCCACGTTGTGAGCGGCGCTGGGAGATGGCAGCGGCACCCTGGAGCTGTCCCCGCGCCTTGGCAGGAGCCCTCCAGCCCCGTACGTGCTGTTCCTTCTGTCGCTGCCGTCCCGGGGGAGCGGAGTTGTCGCTTCGGAGGCCGAGCTCTTCCTGCAGCCCCTGTGATCTCTTCTGAGCAGGCTCCGGCTGCTCCGAGGACTTCCTGAGCGAGCTCTGCCTTCACACCTCCAGTGCTCTTGGCCCAGCCACAAAGAGCTGGAGAGGAGCCCCACTAACACATCCCTGCTCACACACCCAGCCAGGGCCCGGCCCGAGCTCTGAGCACAAAGAAAAGCTCCCGAGCCGGCGAGAGCTGAGATGGTTCTTGCTGGTCCCGCAGTCAGATTTGCCAGCTCAGACGCTCCTCAGCAACCTCCACAACAATTTTTCCTCTCGAAGCTCACAGAGTTAAAGAACAAGCACTGAAGCGGGAGTATCTCTGCTGAAAAGGGACACAGATTTCGTCTGGCTATCAAAAATAAAGGTGGATGCCATATAAGAAGTTCATCTCTCTTGCTGCTTCAAGCACATCATCACATCGGCTTTGGCAGCCCTGCATCGACCTGTGAGTGCTGCAGTAGTGGGCAGGGCTCTCTCTGGAGTGGTGCAGGGCATCAGCCCAGCACTGGTGGCTTTGCAAACAGAGGAGCTGCCATCCATCCCTTCCCATGGAGGGCAGCTCCACCCCAAAACTGCCCACGACATGAGGGAATGGGAAATCAGGAGAGACAGAGGCATTGCCACCAACCCGGCAGCGCTGGCACCGCCTCCCATCCCCATCCCCATCCCGACTCAAGTCTCCCCTGGTACTTGTGAGCTGTTTTCCTGGACAAGACACAGCTTGTCCTGAGCCTGACTCCAAGAAAGGATTCCCAAGACACAACACAACCCCTAAACCACAGAGCAGGTACAAAAACCCTCTTCAAAACGCTACTACCAGCGACAGGCTGAACTGCTTGGTCTGCCCAAGCCAGGTGAAAGGAATGTATGTTTATGATAACTTGCAGGCAGTGACACCTCTGCATGTTTATTGCCCACATTGTGCTGAGCATTAGCACATCAAAGACTCCTGATGAGCCCTGAATTAAATGATGAGAAGAAAGGCCCAAGGTGAGATCTGTAGATGTAGGGCTGCAGGCGTTTTGCTGGGAGAGATGGAAAGTAAAGAGTGAAATTCCAGGGAAAGCTATTTCCATACTGGAGATTTCAATCATTTGGCAAAACCCTTGGAAACCCAAACAGAAAAACTACGTTAAGATTGTTAAGATTGTAAACTTCGGATGAGCAAACTTGGATTTTCCTAGTCCCCATGGTCATTGCCAGATAATATGTGTATTATCCTGGGATCTCAAACTGGTGCTTTAAATTAACTGCAAGAACTCATCTCACAACAATGCAGGTGTGTAAATTCTTTAGAAATTGTTTCATTAGAAAGCAAAGAAGTCACCACAGGACTGAAAAAAAAAAAATAAATCATTAACGACTCCACCAAAGCGGTTGAATTAAAAAGGAAGGATTTTGGCTGAGTGGAGGCCAAGGTATGAGAACGTCATTTTGAAGAAACTTTTCATTTTTCCTCTGTGTTTGGTTTTGTGTACTAACCAGCTTCTGGGGTGGAAAGCCAAGTGCCTCTTCCAGCAGGATTTGTGAAACAAAGCTGCTGCTCAAGCCCCTTAGTGCTGAGCCCTCACGGGGCTCCCAGCAGGTACTGGGCCCAGTGTCTCCTTTATGCTGGTGGAG